AACCTATACCACAACGGTGGTAATGGATCCACAGCAGGATCCACAGTAGGCCCCCCACCGCCCTGACTAAGGTTGGGGGTGGAGGGGGGACTAGGTTAGTGGATCCACAGCAGTAGACCTCCCCAGGGGAGGGGTGGAAGGGGCTATCAGATGTATGTATTTGTTTATTAAGTAGTGAGATGGAGGTGGGGATAAAGGACAGTTTAGAACGGTAACTCTTGCATCTGCTGGCTCTGTAGTGCCTCCCTGATGGTAACAGTTCATTTTTGGCTTGTGTGACTACTGCACCCTCATATACTGACTGGAGAGACTGGAGTTGGACAAGTTTCCCCATTAACTTAATGGCTGTTGTCACCACGTCTAGCCTTCCACTGGACTGTAAGAGAGCCGAACCACACTGCCATACCATATATTATAATGCTTGCTAGTACGGCATTGTAAAATGTTAACATGATCTCAGCTTGGACCCCAAACAGCCACAGCCTCCGAAGAAAGTGGAGCCTCTGTGCTAATCTGTTACACAAGTGGTCAAAATGAACACTCCAGCTCAGATTATTAGCCAACCTTAGTCCTAGATATTTATATGAGGACACCTGTTCAATTTCGTTGTTATCAATAATCACAAGGTCATGAGATACAATTCCCATAGGGTCGAAGATCATCTCTTTAGTTTTTTCCTGTTTAATACAAGATAGTTGTTATCACACCAGGTCTTAAAAGTGGCTATCTCACTTAAATACACAGAGGGGGAAACATTCACATCTAACAGGCTTAAGATGATGGTGTCATCTGAAAATCTGATGACATGATTGTTAGGATGTGAACTCCTACATTCATTGGTGTACAGTGTAACTGGGGCCTCAAATCCAATATGGCACATGCTCTGCTGCGACAGCACTAAGTGCACTGAGAGAATCGTTCTGTGTTTGCGTTGTTTTGTGTTAAATGTGGATGTTTATGTTGGATAAATCTGGGCTGATAAACCATGACATCATTCTATCAGTCTGCCATTTTACTCGCGATTCTATGGCTGATCTGCAACAGCTTTGCACTCCAACCCGACAACGGCAACCGGCTACTCACCTACAGCCGAGATGAACTCCTGGTACACTGGGCCTCGCTGCTGAGTAACACCAAGCCTACTGTTGTCCTACCGTCGGAGCTTCGGCTGAGGAAAAGAGGGAAACGTGGAGGCATCCGCTGCCGAGTAAGGAAGCGTCCATTCAAACCACCTCTCCCCACCATTCTCATGTCCAATGTCCGATCACTCTGTAATAAAATGGACCTGCTACATGCGAGGTGCCACTTTGAAAGGGCTTTCCGGGACATCTGTATCATTGCTCTGTCCAAGACGTGGCTGAAGGAGTCCGTTTCAGATGCTGAGGTCAGCCTGGACAACTTCACCATCATCAGGTCTGACAGAACAAGGCTGTCGGGGAAGACGTAAGGTGGTGGGGTCTGTGTTTATGTCAACGATGGGTGGTGTAACAACATCAAAGTACATCGTAAGGTGTTCACACCCAACCTGGAGATGCTGACCCTGTCCCTTTGCCCCTTCTACCTCCCCCGGGAATTCCCCACTGTTGTGATCAGCTGTGTCTACATAGCCCCCAGTGCTAACATCAATATAGCAGCAGAGCTAATAGCTGAGAATGCTAACGCAGTGCTAGCCAGATATCCCGGCACTCCGCTTTTCATTCTGGGGGACTTCAATAACTTTAGGCTGGACTGTGTGTAACCATCATTTCAACAGTATGTGGATATTCCAACCAGGAGGGGAAACATCTTGGATCCCTGCTACGGGAATATTACCGACACATTCCAAGCCCATTCATATCCACTGCTTGGACTTGCCGACCACAACATCATCTTTTTACTTCTGCTCTACCGACAGGAACTGAGACGTCACATACCAAACTGCTACAGCACCCCACACTGGTCGGAGAACGCCACTAACCAACTCCAAGGCTCCCTGGCTTGCACTGACTGGAGTATCTTCGATGGAGATCTGAATGACAGGGTTTCTGTCATCACAGACTACATCAGATTCTGTATGGACTCCACCATTCCAACCAGAAAAATAAGGATCTATCCCAATCCCAAGCTCTGGATCAGACCCACAAATAAAACAGAGCCTGAAGGAAAAGCACAAAACCTTCAGGCTCAAGGACTGGGCCAGCCTCAAAACAGCAAACAGGAACATTAAAAATGAAATACTCAAAGCCAAACTGGAATACAAAAATAAACTGGAAGCAGAATTCAGCAACATGAACACCAAACAAGCCTTCCAGAGGGTGAGGACCCAGACAGGATCTGAACCCAAATCCACATGTACATCAGATGACCCAGAAACCTTCACCAAACAACTGAACACTTTCTACACCCGTTTTGACAACCAGGATTTTTCATCAGAGTGTCAGACCTGGTTGAGAGCCCTCCCCCCACTGGACCCTGAGGAACTGGCCCCCTTCACAGAGGAGGAGGTACGGCACCAGCTGAGCCACTGCAAGTTAGGCAAGGCTCCGGAACCTGATGGCACCCAGCCAGGGTGTTGAAGACCTGCGCTCTGGAGCTCTCACCAATCCTGCACTCCCTTTTCTGTGAATTCTACTGGACTGCAACAATACCCACCTTGTGGAAAATTTCCACCATAATCCCAATACCCAAAACACCCCAACCTACAGAATTCAACCACTACCGCCCCGTTTCCTTGACATCCATAATAATGAAGTGCCTAGAGAAACTCCTGCTGAACATCATCCTACCGATTGTCACACCACATCTGGACCCCTTTCAGTTTGCCTATAAGGCCAAAAGGGGCACAGACGATGCTGTAGCCTGCCTGCTGCACTTCCTCCTTCAGCACCTGGACACACCAGGTAACTTTGTGAGAATTCTCTTTGTGGACTTCAGTTCCACCTTCAGTACGATCCAGAAACACCTGTTGATCCAGAAACTGCACCATCTCAACATTCCCCCCTGTCTGATCCATCTCATCCACAACTTCCTCACTGACAGACTGCAAGAAGTGAGGGTGGGCCACACCCCCTGTACTCACAATCAACACTGGAGCTCCACAGGTATGTGTGCTGAGCTCTTTCCTGTATACTCTCTACATCAGTGACTGCATAAGCCCATCACCTACCACAACCTGAGAAAACAAGGAAGACTCCAAGGCACTCTCAGTTGAACAAAGTTAAAAAGCCTTTATTTTAATGGCTTGGTAACATTTCCCTTTAAAAAAACTCTGACGCGTTTCGGCAATTAAGCCTTCATCAGGGAGTCAAACAGTTCTCAACAGGAAGGAGAGTTTCTTAAAGCATCAGAAACCTCCACCTGGCAGGAGTGCTGGTCAGGTGACAATTGCCATTACATAAAAGCATCCAGCAGATGTCATCCTTACAACACAGTCAGAGATAAGTATCATACACTTCTCAAGAAGGTCAAACATGAATATAGAAGGTCAACATGCAAAACACATTACAGTCAGGTTAAAAAATAAACCATGCAGAGAGTAAACTCAAACAACATAAAACAGACAATCAAATAAAGACACTAAAGTCATGCACAGATAATCAAATAAACACACTAAAGTCAAGATCCTCATTCAGGCCTGGATATTTAGTGGCCTGTAGTTTATAAATCCAAATGGTTTCCCTCTGATTTAACTGTCTCTGTCTATCCCCTTTCCTCAAGGACAGTGGAATGTGATCAATCCCACAAGCCTGTAAGGTGGATGGGTCACTGTTATGATGTTCTATATAGTGTCACTATATAGTCGACACACCAGAGACATACAAAAAAGCAGCCAACAAAGACTGTCAGCTATCTGAAAACTGTACCTTCTGTACCAAAGCATCATTCAACTAATCCTTCTGTTCTGTTCCATATGTTTCTTCACCATGCTTTCTGTCACCTATTGGGCCAAACTGACACGCATCATACACACCGCTTTCAAAATCATTGGTCTTCCCACACCCAACCTCACAGAGTTAAATAACAGGTCCATTACATGCTTTGCAAAATCAATAGAACGGGACACCACACACCCACTCAACCAATACCTCATCCCATTACCCTCAGGGCGCAGGTACCCAACACTCAAATTTAGGAAAGCTCGACTCGGGAAGAGCCTGATCCCAGCAGCCATAGCTGCACTGAACAAGAGATCCTGTTGACTCAAAGTGTCCATCTCTGTAAATGAACATGTAATGTTTTGTGATGTTTTGTGATGTCTGTGATATGTCTGTGCCTGTGATATCCGTGTTTGATCTCTGTAAATGTACAGTTAGTGGAAACAAATTTCCCTCTGGGACGAATAAAGTAAGTCTATTCTAAGGAGTACAGGAGAACTGACACAGCCCTGAGGCACACCTGTGCTACACTGTTTCACTGCTGAGAGTGAGCTGTTCACTCTGACTTCTTGGGTCCTATTCGTTAGGAAAGAATAAAACCATTTAATGATAAAAGAGTTCACCTTCATGTTGATTAACTTCTGTATGATCAGGTAGGGTTGGACTGTGTTAAAGTCCGAACTAAAATCTGCAAATAAAACTCTAGCATATGCTTTGGGGTCCTCTAGATACTTCTTAATTAAATGAGTGTCAGAAATAACTGCATCCTCAGTGCTACGACCCTGTCTATAGGCAAACTGTAGAGGATCTAGATAACCAACAACCTCAGATTTAAGCATATTGACAATGATCCTTTCAAAACATTTCATCACAACCAATGTTAATGAGACAGGTCTATAGTCATTATTCACAGCTGGACATGAGACCTAGGTTACCGGAACAATGACAGATTTTTTCCACAGACCTGGCACTGTGTGACTGTTAAGTGACTGTTGAAAAATGGGACACCAGGCAACAGATAATTCCACAATCCACACTACAACTTTTTAACAAAAAGGCTGGTTCTGGTGGCAGCTATATTCTGTGGCTTCCTGATGATGGTGAGTGGAAAATATACAGAGTATCTCAATTTCTCTGTATTTCCAGGAGCCATAAAGAGGAAGGTGGAGCTGGACTGGGGCACTGAAGACTTAGAGTACCTCCAGAAAGTGGAGCTCCACTCTGATGGAGCGCTGAACGAGGTCCGACCTGACATCCTCATCTATAATGCAGGGACAGATATCTTGGATGGGGACCCCCTCGGAGGACTCTCCATATCACCACAGGCACTGTACATGCTCTATCAGACACTCAATAGCCAGTTTCAGATAGATATGGCACTATTGAGCCCCTACTAAGTCCCTTCTTTATGCCTCCTTTGCATTTTTACACAGAACCAAACAATGACGGTGCATTCTGGAAGCAAATGAAGTGTGACAGGCGTGACATGTAACACAACAGTTTCAACCTCTAGTTTGAGATAAAGCATACACATCAGCAGCGCTTTATAATCAATGGCATAACATGGCAATAACATCCATTTACCATCTCTGCTATATGGTAGCTGATGTTGTCCTCTGCTTGGATGGTAAGGAGCTGCTGGTCCTCATTGTTTTCACAATTTGCAGACATTTTTGCTCGCTGCTCTTCCTCTTTGAGTTGGCCGCTAACAGCTACTTTTAAATCTCCTGTGAAGGGTCACACACATGTTGTCAGAACATCACATGATACTGTCCTGTCAGTTGCCCTGTTTATACAGACATCATTTCGGTGCTGTTACCACCCCCTGTGGTGGCTTAAAGCCAAGTTCAGACCAAAGACTTGCAACAAGATAGAATCGTTTTAGAACATTGCAGAGAAAAGTTGCAGTGGTGTTAACTGGACGGTCAACTCAAGCCAGCTGATGATGTCACCTGCAACTCAGCTGGTCAAATCACCGACAGCTGGTTTTAGAATGTAAAGCACATTACCTGTTTCAACAGCTAATCGGCTTGTGGTGAAGTCAGCTGGTCAAGTCAAAGTGACCGCAGTTGGCGAGTTCGCTTGCTGCAGCAGGTGCTGCCCACCGAGCCCTCTGTTTCTGTCCTCACTGTGAACCGGTGTCGGGCGCTGGGTCACTGCTGCCACACATGCACACACATTTTCATTGATTGGTTATTTATATTACTGTGGCATATTTATTATGAATACAGTCCATCTAATTGCTCGTTTTGCTTTTGTTTTTTGCCATTTCATCACTACTACAAATGCAACTGTAGCCAGTAACTCACTATCACTACCCTTATTCATATTTTAAGAAGCTACAAATTATATTCTGCCACAAAATAAGCCTGAAAAGCTGGAAATCAGAACAGAGGTACAGAGAGTTGTCGCATAGAGATGATACACCGTCTCATCTAGCTGCATTGATGTGAAGTTGTTTTAGAACGTTGAAGAATGACGCATTGCAAGTAGTTGCCTGTTTCAACTTCAACCCGTTGCGAATCTTAGGTCCAAGCTGGGCTTAAAGGCGAGACAACTCTGTCCCCCAATTCTTGGATCATACCTTATATACAGCACAGAGAGGCGGCATAACCGTGTGATATTCCCATCTTGAACAGGCAGTGTAAAAAAGGCTAATGTAGATACATATGAGATGTGAGTACTGATAAGCCTACTTTAAGCCTGAACTACTTTTTACAGTTCATACTGGATTCCAAAACATCAGCGGTGAGCTGGAGGGACAGTGTGCTGTAGAGCTGCTCCCCACACTCAGTGGCCATGTTAGGTACATCTGCACAATGTAATGCAATCAGAAACAGCTGTCAAATAGTGTATTTAGGGTGTCTAATACAGTCATAATGTTGTTTATTAAATTATATAATTATGTTCCAGCATAATTTAACTACCTCCTCATCCATTTATGTAAATAGAGAGGACAAATAATTTGAAACACATGTCAATTTAATGTAATCCAGTACAGTACAGCATGACCTCTAATTTGCTTTTTTCAAGATGGTTGCTACCTGAAATGTTTTTTTTTTGTTTGTTTTTTTAAACTCTTTTGGAAAACCTGGTGTCTGTTTTATATGTTTAGTATTAGAAACACATCGGAATTCTCAGATTTATAATTATTCTAAAATCATATTATATTCTATTTATGACGTATAATTTGCATATAGCCAATATAGCCGCTATCCCAACAATTTCCATGTTTGCAACATAACAAATATAAGCAGTTAAAGTGGGAAATATGTTTTATTACAATTTAAGGCAATAATGAATGAAAGAAAATGAAAAAAATCTTAGTCATGGTAAATGTTCATCATAGTATGACTACTTGGCATGGACCACGGCATGGCCCTGAGATTGATCCTGGGCAGGGGAGGGTTATACACATGTCTAATTCTCCCTTACTGATATCTAAAGAAAATTTTTACAGGAAAGATAAAGTAAAGGATATATGTTGACCATTTTTTTTTGTTGAGATACCTCATACGCAGTGTTGTAATGGCAGGAGAAATACCTGAATGGAGAAGTGACAGGCTCCGCTGTGTCAGGAAACTTTAGTACTTTACGTAGGTAATTTGTTAGGAAATGTGAAAGCATACTAAGAGCTGATCTTGCATGAGCCACATTTGGATGTATGACTTCCTGTGTGCACAGATATCCTATAGGTGATGCTGTAAATTCCACAGAATAATTGGAACAAATCAAGTAAATGTGCAGAATGTGTTAGTGGGATGGTACAGTGATGTGTGGTGCAGAGCTAATCAGTGATTTGGGCTGCTAAATAGCCTAAAATTAACACTTGGTTAGTGCAGCTTTAATAATTGTTATTTAAGGTTGCGGTAAAACACGTGTTTCTGTTATGCCTAATAATGTTCAAACTCAGTCATTGTGCTGCAAATTGTTCAATAGTAAATGAGAGTTTGGATACAAGCTGTTGCCACTCTCAGTCTCTGGGGTATGTAATGCCCTGAGAGGTTTGGTGCTCCACAGTGAAGTAATGAGAAATTAGAACTATCAGACTGCTTCCAGCCTCCCCTCCCTCCTCAGGTGAAGAATGGAGTGTAGGTACTGTAGAAGCATTAGCCAGCAGCCTGCCAAAATTCCGAGAAGTTACACGTCCTATCCGAGGCCATGGGCAGACTGACAGACCAGCTCTTCTCTTGTCTTCCTCTCCAGGGCATTGTAAAGAGAGATGAGATTGTGTTCAGTGCTGCAAGGCGACGGGGCATCCCCATACTTATGGTGACATCTGGAGGATACCAGAAGAAAACAGCCCGCATCATCGCTGACTCCATCCTCAACTTGCACCAACAGGGCCTAATTGGAGCAGAGGTTGAGGAGGGGGAGGGATCATCGTCACTTATGACAAGCCTGATGTGAGGCAGCTCTGGATGTGTTGGATCAACATTCACTGCAGTATGAGATGCATTCATCCTGACATTAACACTCAGAGCTGTGACATTTAAAGGCCCTGAAGTCACTTTAAATTATGCAGGTACTGTGTGACAGCAGTGATAATACTGTAAGCTTTCTGCTGTCACACAGAAACATCTTAATTTGAAACTGATGACAGGGGTTACCCAGTGCTTGTTTGCACACATACAACAACCAGAAAATAGCCTTGGTCATGTTTTACATCTTTAAGTTGGCAATTATACAAAGGGAATAATTCTTAAAAGACAAAAACAATAATAATCACACTTTCCTGAGTTCTCATGTGCCACAAAAAAAGTAGTTTCAATTTTCATCAGTTGGAGAATGATGGTTTTTATGTATGATGTATTCTTTAATCTCAGGAAATATAATAATGTATTTTGTGAAAGATGATATATTACTAGTTAATGAAATTGTGAAGATTTTGATGTTGTTACAGATACATGGCAAGTGACCTGTCCTTCAGAGGTGAAACACAAGATAATTGCACGAGAGCCGTACCTATCAAACATAATCTACTAGGGATGCTTAACCTTCTTACAGATGATAATGTCTTCTTCATTCCTCATTAGCATTTTCCTTTATCACTTCCAGTATAAATTAGTGTACAACAAATAATAATGTAATTATTACAGACTTAACAGTGTTTCATTAATCAAGTTTGCCCTTTGATGGGTTTTTGTACTTAAGGCTCTAAATCCATACAGTCTGTGCAGATAACGTTTACAGCGAGTTCAATATGATTTTACTGAAGCCACTTAACTCTTCTGTGTCTGTGTTGTTGTTGCAATGTGTTCCTGACATCTCCACATCAAAGTTCAAAAATTGAAAATAGCTGCGTTTATTGACTGCACCGGCCTGTGAGTTTCATGAGTTTGACTTGCTGTACTGACACAGACAGAACTCTCCTAATGATGATTACACATGGAGGAGTTGTGTAAAAGGAGACAAAATAGATCATTAAAAATTAAGGATGCACAGAAATATTGGCACGTCATCAGTATTGGCCAATACTGAGTTTAAAATGAATTATTAGAATTGGCCAACATGCTTTGTCTTAATTTACACAATGAATGAATATTACATGCATTGAAAACCATTGTTTTTCATGTCTCCATCTGCTGGTGGGCCATCACGATAAGTGAATGCATGCATAATATGATGTAGATCCCACTACGGAAAAGACTTGACGATCACTTAATTTAGGTGGAGAAAAAAGTGGATATATCGATAATGGTAATCAGCCAAATAAGTTGTTATAGATTGGCATATCGGATATCAGCAAAAAAGTCCAATATCGTGCATCTCTATTAAAAATATTGGATCAATATGATTATTGCAACAGCTGGAACAATATCACAGTTTCCAAAAGACACTTAAGCCACTCCATCAAACACACACACACACACACACAAACACACACACACACACACAATACTAACTGAGGTCTGTGCAGGTGTGTGCTTGTGTGTGTACAGTATGCTAACTAAGTCATTTCATATTGAAATTCTACTTAAAACATTTAAACAGTTCAGAGTAAGCTGAAGTATGAGTGCTTTCTTAGCTTACTCATTTGTGAAATCCCCATACCCCCCCTCTTTATGCTGGTGTGAAGCTTCAAAAGGTAACTTGGCAGCTCCATTTAAAGTGAGAAATGACTTTTAACTAAAGGAGTATTCTGGTTCTGGCCCTTATTTCCATAGTTTTGGCCATCATTCTTTGCTAATAGTTATACTAAGGGAAGATTTACAATGGGGATCACATCTTTCTACCAAGCTAGCTACCCAGGTACATCATCAAAACATAGTAACAGAACAGTGAAAACACGTCTGAGGTTGGTGCAGCTGCTCAGCAGCTTGTTTTAACTCAATTTACGAGATAACTCTTAAATCTGCGCTCTGCTGTGATCCCAGTATGGAGAGAGATTTGTCTTATTATTATTTGTGTGAACTGATCGACCACCTGTGTTAATGTGTAATCTGTAAATTTATAATACCTTCCACAAATACAAAAAAAGATTTGTAAACTCAGAAAATATTTAGCAAATATTAAACAGATCTGCAAATATTCAAATATGGAAACAGATTTGTATCAAAAATTATTTGTGTGAGAAGATCTACTATCTGTGTGTAAATGTGAAATCTGTCAATATTTAACTACTTCCACAAATATAAAGAAAGGATTTGTAAATTTAGAAAAATATTTTACAAATATTAAATGGATCTACAAATACACAAATGTGGAGATTTGTATCAAAAATGAATTGTGTGAGAAGATCTACTATCAGTGTGTAAATATGTAACCTGTAAATATTAAATCTCTTCCACAAATATAAATATTTGTTAATTTAGAAAAACATTTTGCAAATATTAAATGGATCGGCAAATATTTCAATATGGAGACAGATTTGTTTCAAAAATTATTTGTGAGAAGATCTATTATTGATGTGTAAATGTGTAATCTGTAAATATCAAACAACCTCCACAAATATAAAAAAAGATTTGTGAACTAAGAGAAATATTTTGCAAATCAAACAGTTCTGAAAATACACAAATTCCACGAATTAAAAAAAAGAGTCAGTGTGTGTCAAATGCAAATCTGCAAGTGTAGAATTGAGATTCACAAATAAAAAAAAAAACTGGATTCTCAAATATCTGTTCAAAAGCTGAAATGTTAGGAAAATATTCATAGATTGATTGATTGATTGATTGATTGATTGATTACTTTATTATCAGAATTCATTCTGAAATTTGTTTTGCATCCAAGACACTTGTTTCTCATCACCAAATTCATTACAAATTACAAAAATATAACCTTAAACATCCATCAGACAAAATATACCATCAGACATGTGACATTTGCTATATCCAACATCAAAGTGGCTGTGGTGCCTCCTAACAATTATTCAACATTTTAATAGACTGAGGAATAAAAGAGTTCCTCAGTCTGTTTAATCTAACTTTGGGGACTCTATATCTGCTGTTGAATGGCAACAACTGATACTCTTCAAATAAAATATGCGCTGGGTCAGACAAAGGTTTGCCTGCCAAGGACAACATTCTTCTAGTATATGCAGCTTTAAAGTTACAATGTGTAATTTACGTGGTTGTTTATTAGCAAATATCAACTATTGCTTCCATAAATATACATTTACAAAAGTGTAATGCAATTCACATACAAATGGAAGTTTTCTCACAGGCTGAGAATGATTTTTCTATATATACAAAGGCAGGGCGCGGTCTGCTGGAGGCTGCCGTCTTGCATCGCCACATTTAGACGGTAGGCCGAACGCGTTTTTCGTGTTGTTGATCGTTCTCCATCAATAGAGTACACAGTTTTTTGTGTGTGATATTAAACAATTCTATAGAGTCCGGGAAAATTTGTTGGCAGCTCTGGTTTGATCATATATTTTCACAAACTTGTATTTTAATTGTCACTCTGCTCAGGCAATTTGCTGGATAACTCTAGCTGATGAACCAATCAGATTGCAGTTTAGAGAATATCAACCAATGGCAGATGGCCTTAGGACCCAAAAATGTAAACAGGGAAAACGGACAGCTCCATCTTTTTTTGACTTATTATTGTGTCAAAATGAACAATTTAATGTAAATATATGGTATATAATCACCATCATCATTAATATATGTATGTAACATGATTGTATAATCTTAGGGTCTACACAAATCCCTTTGCAGGTGATAAAAATGGCCAGTGTTGTGATTTCTTTTTCTATGTATGCCCCCGTTAAGTTTCTTTTATATTGCTGATAATAGCGACAGCCTACAGTCTCTGCGTTGTGTTGTGATAATGATGGTGGACTAACGGCTAACAGTTAGTAACGTCAGTTGACTCCGACAAAGACACACAGACGCTCCGATGTCGATTCAATGATGACTGTTTATTGCTTACAAGCACTTCGGGGTCTGGGGGATACAAGCCCGGTCTCAGTAAAACTATTTAATATAAATAAAATCATAATCAAAGGAAACTTACAATACTAATAAATGATGTCAACATGACGAAGCTTAATAACCGTTAAATAACAAATTACATGGTCAACGGTCTAACCTTGACCAGGATCAAAGATCATATCTGTCAAGTTTTGGATTTGAAAATAAGGGAAATTTTCCGGCGCCCGCCACGAGCCGTCCCACCACCCCAACCAAGCTCCAGTATCCCTTACATTTTAAGACAGGTGTACAGGAAATCTAAAATAACCACTTGTCAACCACTTACTAACTACAATTAGGTGATCAGAATCTGATAGGCCTACCTTTGTTGACATTGAAATGCTGTGAACATTCCTACGTTATAATACAGGGTTATTATGTTATTATAATACGGGAGATTTACGGGAAAATACTAATACGGGAGGACGGCGGGAAAGAGGGGTAAAATACGGTAGTTTCCTGGCCAAAACGGGAGACTTGACAGCTATGTCAAAGACTTACTATATTACAAATTACATAAAAGACACTATTGATACAGATGAACCAGTACACATTGATAATCACTCTGAATGTCAATATAGTTATAATTAGTAATAAAGTCTCTCTCAGATCAGCTATACATTAATATTTACAGGTTTCCATTTAACAGTCACACATTCACGTGGGGGATACAAGCCCGGTCTGACTTGTTCCCCCGGTGATGGGCTTTATAGCTGCATCGTTACCTTGGATACTGTGTAGCCAAGTATTAAATTTGAAATATAAGATAACAGCATAAAAATATGAAAATAACACAAATATGTACACCTTACAACTATTAAATAAAGGTAAAATTACTGGCAAAATTATATTCTATATTACAAGATTTTGCTATTCGACATAGTGACCATTTAAAGCTCAACTGATGTATTTAATGTAACATGCAAGAGGCATATGTTACATCTGCTTCTCATATTGTTCTAATACTATACAAAAGAGTAATTTTAATATATATGTATATATTTCTTAATAATAGACCCTAAACTGACTAGTTTATAAGCTTCTAGAGTCTAATGAATGACCTAATAAACTACAATATACAACAAGTGATGAGTCTGAGTCGTTTTCTCCACTTGATTTGATTTTTTTTTTAAATGTCATCTCATTTGCATCAACCCAAACACATGTTTACCTTAGCAAGCACATCTGCAGCTAAGGATGCATCCTGGAAAATATGGAGTGCTGTATGCAGCACAACTCCTAATATCATACAGTTTTCAGCCGAAAGTTGGGCAGCATTTGTAAGAAGTTCTCTGGAGTGGGTCAGTTTTGATACTAAAGAAAGCAAAGTTGCAGCAATAGCTGTAGAAAAATATGAGTTAAAGGAAAATGTCTTTGTGTGCCAGCTAATGTTGGCTACCACCGAGAATGTTATATGCAATATGCCAACAGAAGAAACATTGAGAGAGCTCGCAAGAGTAAAGAGAGGGCAATACAGCAGATTGGTTTGTACAACATTGTGGTTTTGACTTTGGACAGTACATTCAATTTCAATTTTCATATCATAAATATTCATATATCATACAGTGGTGACGTATTCAGATCCTTTTGTTATTCATATACCATACAGTGGTGAAGTATTCAGATCCTTTTGTTCAGTAAAAGTACTAATACCATAGTCATCACATAGTTTGATAGTTAGATAGTTTGCGTCTGATTTCCTGTCAACTCCATGGTCTCTCGAACCAGCAGGCGAGGATCAAGATGTCACACGTGTCCAGACGATGTGTAACAGCCTTTCAGTCATTCATTCAGTCAGTGGCGAAGATGAAGACGGCCCGTCGATGTCGTCCATGACAGCGGGGCCCGAGCAGTGCAGTCAGGATACTCTGAGCGTTAGCTGGGTTACTCACAGCACAGTCCGTTTATTCCTCAGGTTCTCCTCATCGGAAACTATGAACTGCAGCCTCATTAGTAAGCTGAGTTAGCTGTACTCATAGAGGCTGTACTGCGGCTAAAAGTCCGTTCACTTTGCTAGTGATGAATGCTAACAACACATCGGTGGCTAATGAGCTAATACACAACGTGAATAACTGTTCAAAACACTTCAACTAAGTTAGTTAACATTAGAAACGTCTTCAGCTTCTCACGG